CGCCTGTAATCCTAGCTACTCAGGAGGCTGCGATCTGAGGATCACGGTTCAAAGCCAGCCCGGGCAGGAGAGACCGTGAGACTCCTATCTCCAATAACCACCAGAAAAACCGGAAGTGGCACTGTAGCTCAAGTGGTAGAGCGCTCGCCTTGAGCTGAAGAGCTGAGGGACAGCGCCCAGGCCCAGAGTTCAGGCACCACCACCCACAAAACAAAAAAAAGAGAGAGAGAATAAAACATATTGTACCACCCACCGAATCCAGTGTGAACGTGCACTACCATCTGACTGCCAGTAGGATGATGTTTCTCCATTTGTCATCTTGTCAATATCTGCAGGGTTGGAGGATGTCTCTATATAAGCATAGCATTTTGTTACTGACTTGAGTTTATCCATCTCAGGGCTTCTGGTTAACTCTCCAGGGTTTTCTGTAAGGAAAATGAGTTTATTTTATGACATCTTTTACCAAGGGAAAAAAAAAGACAGTCATTTGTCCCATATGCCTGTAATCCTCGCCACTCAGAAGGCTGAAACCTGGAGAATCATGTTTGGATGCCAACTTAGGCAGAAAAGTATTCAAGACACCATTTCCAGTAAACCAGAAAAAAAGCTGGACAGGATGTGTAACTCAGGTTGAGTTACAGCCAAGTGAACAGCAATTGCTAGGCTCCTGTTTTCAAGCCCCAATACTGGCCATTAAAAAAAGGAAGAAAACAAAAAGTTGGGCACAGATGGCTCATGCCTAGGAGGCTAAGATGTGAGGATTGACATTTGAAGCCAGTCCAGGAAGAAAAGTCCTTGAGATTCTTATCTCTAATTACTCACACACACAAAAAAAAAACAAAGTGAAGCTGTGACTCAAGTGGTAGAGCAAAAGAAGCTCAAGGGCAGCATCTAGACTCAGAGGTTAAGCCCCAGGACTGGCACTGAGAGAAAGAGAGAGAGAGAGAGAGAGAGACAAGAGACAGAGAGACAGAGACAGAAAGAGAGACACAGAGAGAAAGAGAGAGAATATGAATAAGAGTCATTTAAAATATCTAAAAAGCCAGGCACTGGTGTCTCACACCTGTAATCTTAGCTACTCAGGAGGCTGAGATCTGAGAATCACGGTTCAAAGCCAGTCTGGGCAGGAAAGTCTGTGAGACTCTCATCTCCAATTAACCACCAGAAAACCGGAAGTGGAGGCTCAAGTGCTGGAGCACTGGCCTTGAGCTGAAGAGCTGAGGGACAAGGCCCAGGTCCAGAGTTCAAGCCTCACAACCAGTAACAACAACAAAAAATAATAATAATAAAATATCTAACACATATGCTTAGTACTTTGGCACCAGTAAGGAGCTCATGGTCACCGGTCATTATCTCAGTATAGTGAAATACTTAAAATCATTGATATATTTGTAAAACCACGCAAAGAAAAATGTGTCTCATACTTTGAGTTGACATTCAAATTATGGGTTTTTTTTTTTTTTAATAGGTTGTGGGGCTTAAACTCTGGGCCTGGGCGCTGTCCCTGCGCTCTTCCACTTGAGCCAAAGTGCCACTTCTGATTTTCTAGTGGTTTATTGGAGATAAGTGTCTCAAACTTTCCTGCCTTGGTTGGCTTTGAACTGTGATCCTCAGATCTCAGCCTCCTGAGTAGTGAGGATTATAGGCGTGAGCCAATGCTGCCTGGCAATTATGAGGCTTTTTATGAGTATTCTGTCTTTACTCTCTCCCATTTTTTCTGGGTTACTCGTCTTTTCTTTTTTTTTCTTTTTCTTTTTTTTTGGGGGGTCCGGTTGTGGGGCCTGAACTCTGGGCCTGGGTGCTGTCCCTCAGCTCTTCAGCTCAAGGCTAGCACTCTACCACTTG